AAAATTCTCTAGTCTTCAGAACCACCCAAAATTCCTAATCAAGTTTATTAATTATATTTTTATTTTATTGAATATTTTTAATTTATAAAATTCATCTGAAATCGTTTATAAATTGTCATTGCCAAATATTCAAGTCAAGTCCGATATAAGTCTATGAATAGTTCATAATGTCGTCTCGGCCGTTGTAGTCATCTTGCGTGGCAATAGATTATATTATTTAGGTAGGTATATATAAATTAAATTATAATGTGGTGTTACAGGGTCGATCGTCGACGTGTAATAATAATAATAATAATAATAATAATATCTCCTCGCCGCCGAGACGCATCGTTGCAGTTGTGGGAGGGAAACATACGCGCGTACATCACGCTCTCTATAAACCACCGAGGGGTAGGTCACTATATGTATATGGTACTTATAACTTGTAAGTATAACATGTAAATAATAATGGAAATCGGTTCTTTTTCGTTGTCGGCGTGCAGTCGTAGTCGGTCRGACTAATGACGACGATGCGGTCGTTACCAGCGGTATTATTTTATATATATAGGTAGTGTTMGCGTTGGGYGACGTGTGATCTATAGCGCGCGGGGTGWATATATACGCTCGGAGATCGATCGTTGACCGACCGTGTCCGTTGACGTGCACACCGTATTATATATTGTGTTATAGGTACACATTATTGAGTAGATGTGTACCTATACAGTCTGGTTGGCGGTTGCACCACCGCGATGCGGTTATCGACGCGATTATACCTCGCCGCAAACGCTTAATACGATATTATATRCAGCATGTATATAGTATATTACAGGTACAGATCATCCTTCAGTGTCTATCGTGATTCGTGGCTTACATATTATTACTATTATTATGTTGATGTAGGTAGGTGCCTGTGCGTGGTCGAAATAATGTAAGGTAATACCGCCCTCATAAATGGAGATGTGAAGTCATATATAAACAAATAACGAATTTGACTTTTGAAAAAACGGAATTTTTCACATTCTCTTATCTTTTTTTTCTTTTTTTTTATTAAATCCCCGCAGTAGTTGTTACTATCTTTTGTCTTTTTATTGTATACACATATTAATCTAGCCTATTACGATCCTGCTTTTAGTTACTTTTTAATAATAAGTTATAAGTTATAAAATCTTATCATTCAATGTAATTAAAACTAAAATAACTCTATTCAGGACTGAGAATAATCGAAAAATGATTCAAAATTTACCTACAAAACTAACCTAAAATAAAAATTATACCTTATTAAAAAATAATAATTCATTTTCAAGTTTATTCGTATTAACATAGGTACATGTTTTTTAAACTATATTTACCGTATAATATTGTATATAAGTTTTTTAAAGCGTATATGTGCATAGTGCACATATTTTATTATTCTGTACCTAGTCCATAAAGTTCCGAGGCCTGATGATAACGAATTACAGTCATCCACAACGCGGGGACTTCAGGACTTGACCATTCATGGAGTTTGTACTCACAACGTAGCGCACACGCTTTGGCTTTTCATTTATACATTTTTTTTTTTTTATTTACACTAAATATACTCTCGGCAACATAGGTTACAAAATTTAAGTTACAATGGGTTGTATTTATATTGACAACTATATTATTTTACAGTGTTCATATTCTTTATACATTTTTAATATTAATAATTTTCTTTATATACAGTTAAAAAAAATATATTATATTCAAAGTATATAGAAAAGTAATCACTACTATAAATTTAATTATTTAATATTATTGCATTCTCATAAATCATAATCATAAAAACTAAAGTTCGCCTAATACTATGTACTTTAAGCTAGTTATTAGTAAATTATAATAATGTGAAATGTGATTAATTATATAATCAAATAATATGGGACAACATTATGTGAGTAACATCATCTTGGGATCTTACTGTTCTTTCAAAACATATAAAAATTTAAAACTAGACTAACTTCAAAGTTAATCATTTTAACTAGTTAAATAATTATGATTATTGCATATTTCCATTAAACTCAATAAAGTTTCTTCGAAACCTAACTTTATACTAAAACTTGAAAATGAATAAAAAAAATTTTTAAATGATCCGAAGACGCTAAAAAAGCAAGATAAAATGAATGTATTTAGAATACATTGTTTGACAAAACAAAAATATATATGTATATAAATATACAGTAAAAACATACTTTGTATTGACATTTGGATATTATAACGGAATATTGTATAAATGTATTAAAAATAAATGATTATAAATTACTTGCTATATAAAATGTAAAGTTGTTTATGATACTATACGAAACGATTATACTTCAATTTACGAATTATGTAAATACCCAACAAAATACACTTAATATATTAATATTCCATATCTACACGCGTATACGAAAAGCTTTATTCCCTATACAGTATACGATGAACTAATATATTATGAGATATTATATTATTATACTAAACTTCTGTAGACTCTACCTATTCGTATAACGCCTTTAATACGAGCAGTATTTTGGTCAATATTATTATATTGCATTTTTTTTTTTTTTTACAGCGTTTCTATAGTCGTTTTTACTGATGATGTAAAAAGTTTTCATMAAATAATCTTCACTTTTCTTTAAGAGCCCCTGCTCTCGTACTATACTGCACCCTTTGATGCTRCATTGAGATACAATGCGACGGGAAACAAAGATCCGATAATCACCGAGTTATAATCGCATAGTATAGGTACCTATATATAATATTATATATTATTTATATATATATATATATATTGTACGTAGGTTGACGACAACGCCGCCGCGGCCGTATAAGTCGTTTTGCGGTTTTTTCTTTATTTTATTATTATATGTATATACATATATTTTTCCCTTCAGGGGGGCGTGGCGCGTTTGGAATAAAATCTTGGTTTATTTTCCAACCTGCTACATTCGAATTCCACTGGACCGGGTCATCGCGTTATGGGCCCACCTGTCCACCTGTTAAAAGGTGTACACACACACACACACACACATGGTAGGTACGTGAACATGCGCGGTCCAAGAGACATTCGATATGTTCGTCGAGTTGTACCACGCAGCAGCCAGCCACTTCGGCGGTTCAGAGATGTTGTTACTGCACCGCGATAACATTGCGGCTCTCGTAATACACTCTTGACGGGGGGGAAAAATCTCCAAGCGCGATAATCATAGTAATAATAATAATGTTATGATATCAAATTGGCCTGGACACGCGTTCGTAATGTTCGTATATATAATATATGACGCAACGTAGACCGGAAGCATCAATCAGCATTCTTCAAATAGGATGTAGTTAGAACATATTTGGCGTAAATTAGGCACGAATTGTAACTGCAGATATCGTCGTCCACCAGTTTTATCTCTCGTCTACTTCTACTTTTTTCTTACATAGTTACATCCATCTCTTTTCTTGGCGTTAACACTACACGTTTATATACATAATATTCGTCACGACCACTCCGACCACTGTGATATTGTATAGTTATATTACAGTACATAATATTGACTATAATTTTATTATAATTGTTGTTACTATTCTCATCTCATCTTCTATAATATAGTTGACGAATATATTATGCGTCACCACCTGTGAGATTGTCCTTTTTTGATTTCATTTGATCAAACCAATTTTTGTTTATTGCGGTGAAAGACTCCAAACCGTTTCTCGAAAATGAATGAACGCAATTATTCAGGATTCATTAATCGTTTTGGAATGCATACGTGCAATACAAAGGATGCCGCCGCGCCGAGAATTGTTTCGCCCACAGACATCAACGAAAAAAATTTGATCATCGATCAACTGACAAATATAAAATAGGTTCACAAAAAAAGAGCCAAATCACCGTTTGTATTATTTTTTTTTATTTTTTTTTTTTAAATTTTGTATGTAAACATTTSGTTGTCCAGTAGTAAGTATTTCTTTGTCGTAAAGAAGTAAGTATTTTGATTTTATTTTTGCTACTCTAAACGTTTACATATAGATAGGTACTCAAATAGCACTAACGTCACACATAAATATATTTTGACGGGATCGTGTATGTTACGTAATTCCATTGACAAATACCATAATATAAGTTTGAATTTTTTTTTATCGAAAATGGGTAATTGAAATTTAATTTTTTTTATGCAATTAAATTTAAATGACTTCTTGTTTGACAAACGTGCAGTAATTCGAAAGTGTAACAACATTATAAGTGCTAATGTTGCGCACTGGTGCAAATTAATGTATACGTACATAGATTTTAATGTGTACCTATATCAAATAATTATGTCTACAGTAAAAAGGAAAATCGTACACAGACACTATAGTTATAAACATATAAATAATTAAGTTATGTAGGTGCTATTACAGCTATAGTAGTTTTAGTATTAATCAACAGGTTTACTGGACCCACAATACCAATATATTTATATATATATATATAATATAATATAATATATAATGCATTTGGTTGATATAACGATAAACATGAGCTGCAGGCATGAAAAAGCGGGTGCATTAAAATTTCAGACAAATTTGACTTTAGTGTCAAGCATTATCGTGTTACCGGGTTATAAAACCTTTAAATGGACTGCATATTTATTGGTTTGTTCGTAATCTTTAGCTTAGTGTCCCGGTGCTTCATTAAACTATAATACCTATTACCTACCGATATACCTAACTATTGAAAATATTTTATTTGTTTATAGGATTATTTAGAAAAKCACGGTTTACGTTCATGGTCAAATAATAGTTATTCTAATAGCGCCTTTAGGCTTTAAACGTTTGGCTTGCCAATCGATTATCATATACTACAGTTAAATTATAAATAAAGGTACTACTTACATTTATTCAGTAGGTAGCTTGAGTGTTGGCATTCGTTTCATAACTAGCACATTGCACAATTTGTTTAATAAAATGTATTGCACTTCAATGGTATTGTTACAAAA